CTTTCCTCTGATTGAATATGCAGCGTGCGACCAAATGAAATTATGGAATTTATTTAGACTTGAATTTCTGCACTTGGCCTCAAGTTTAGCCGCAACATTATGTATATTATTTTTAACCGTCATCCACGGATAAATATATATGTTGATTGGTATAAATGGAGTGAAGGCGCTGAGTGAGTCGGAGACCGCAGACCGCTCTCATTAAATATATACAGCTGAGTGAAATGTCAACGTGGAAATTAATTAACTCGTCGCGAAAGCCAGGACTCCCTGGTCTCCCCAGGACTCTGGTTTTGGTTCTGGTTCTGGTTCTGCTGAGGTCACAGCTCCGTGCTCATATTTCAATCAAAACTGCGACAGCTGCAAGCCAGCGGCATAAGCTTGAACATAATTTTGGCAACGGTCCATCAACGGTTTTGGTTTGGGCCAGATTTGCTTGCCACCTCGTGGCAGGGCGGCATCTCATCAATATTTACAAGCGGCGAGCCTCGAATTTGTCACCCCGACTAAACGAGAACGAGTACAGGGTTTGGGTAGAGGATGGGTCTCTGGGTTGGAAAGTTAATTGCCAAATGACACAATTAATGCTCCAGAGTCGCAAAAAGGCCGCAAGAACACGCCCACACACATAGCCAGGGGGCCGGATGGCGGAGGCGGCTTAACCTCAAGATTAATGTACGGCAATTAAACGTTTAAGTGTTGATTAATGTGACTTTCTGTTCTTGGCCAGGAGAGATGCACGAAGGATGGCATCCGGCCAGCTGGCCGCCTGTCAATCTCCTCCTCGGTAGAGAGACGAGCCCAACTCAAGCAGCTTGGCCTTGCCTTTTTTCTCCAATTTTCTCTGATTGTTTGAGAGCTGAGAAGGAGGTTATATATAGCATAAGGAAAATGCTCTTTCTTAAGGCTTTCTTGATTACATTTATAAATAATATGACTCGTGTTTCAACAAGGAAGTAGTACTTTTTGTTCCAAGTTATTGGTATTTTTCTCTTAAATTTCACCGAGTAAAAAAATGTCGAGTTTCTTTAATTTTTGATGCAGAAAAAGTCCTTGGTTTCGGCTTGCCATAAATTCCTTGAGTAGGCACTGCAACAACTCAAACTCAAACGGCAAAGACATTCGCATTTATCATCTTTACGGGTTAACTGCCAAAAATGCTTTGAGGCAGTGGCGCAGCGAAAAAGGGGGGGTCATTGAAGAATAGATGGTGGAGACTATAGACAGGGGATTTAAGTGGGTGAAGTGGTGGTGGGTAGGGGAGCAGTAGAACAAACAGAGTGGAATTGCTCCATGGCTCACCAAATCCACAAAGTCAAACAATGTTGTATGCTTTACTAGTTTTATCATTGCTCCTCCTTGAAGCTTGAAGCTACTGCTCTTGGTCCTGCTCCTGCTCCTGCTCCTAGTCCTGCTCCTTCTTCTGATTCTACTCATTTTCCTTCATCGCATTTTCCAACGAAAACCCTGCTGCTGCTGCTACTGCGTTTATCTTGTTGAGAAAGGTGAGCAGAAACACGAAGCATAAACTATGAATGTCAGATAAACAGCCGTCACTTTCACAGGAGCCGGAAAAGCGGATCTGAAGGGTTCGCATTAGTGGGTGAGCGCATTTTTAAAACCATTAGAACCCGGCTCCCTCTCCTGCTTTGGTCTGATTTTCCAACAAATCCTGCTTTGGGTTTCGGTCCTCCATAAAGCGTGGACTTTATTGGCAAACCCGGCATTGTAAGCACACTTTTTGACGCAATCGTAAATTTTCCCACAAACACACACAAAAACCAAAAACTGAACTGACTGGGGAGAAATAAAAAATGCCATTCATGGCATTCGATTGGCAATATGAGGCTGGGGGAATAGATCAAGCAATTTTCTAGTAATAATAAGAAAAGGGAAACCCAAGCCGAAGGATTTTGAAACAGTTCTTAGCTCTGTTTATAATAATAAGAAAAAGTACAAAGTTTAATTAAGAAAAGAAATCGACTAAAGTTGGTAAAGATTGATTTATTTATGCAAAGTTTGTAAGAAAAACGAACCTGATTTAGGAACTTCTAATTTATTTAACCTTTAAACTTGTAGCTTACTTGTTTAAGTTTTCAGCAAAACAAATATACATATATAAATCTGAGAAATTTGCACCTTTATTCATACAAATTCTTTTAATTAAAAACACATCAAGTATTTCTACTGTCAATAGTTTATTTGTGAAAGAAAGCAAAGCAAAAACTCACTCTCACCCAAATTTTCCAGCCTGTGAAATTCTAAAAATTAAACTGACACATTTTTCCCCCTAACTCGTTCGAAAAGAGAAATAAATTCTCACCTCAAATCTGAAGCAAAATTTATGGCACTATTTGTGGTTCATTTTATTTGTACATTTTACATATAAAATTAGCTCGATGTTTCTCCATATTATGTCGTCATTTTTTTTGGGTTTAAACCGAAACCATGTCCTTGATAATATTTTATTTAACAAAGTAATGCTGGACCTTCCAAAGGGAAATTTAGTTTTGAGGGCAGATTTATCTCGGTGGAAAAAGACAATAAGATATTCAAGACACAAGCATATCAAGTTACGATTGTGCCTGTCCTTGCACTTTTTCTACCAATTTCACAAATTTCCATCAACTTGGCTTGGCTCCTGCTCCTGCTGACAGGCGAATATTTCCCCAGCCTGTCAAGGATCTGCCAAGGGGCAGCAAGGCTCTGGCCAATGGCAAGTCCTAGTGGCTGGTGGAAAACAAATGACTAGAAGAGATTACAGCAGCATTTCTGCTGATTTTCAAATGAAAATTTAATGAATGTTCTCTCTCACACACACACACACACACAGATATGTAGAGACTATACCCTTGGCGGGTGCCAGGAATCGCAACTGAGGGGGTTCCCCTCCCATGGAGGCTCCCAGTGAAGCTTGGCGCCACTTAAATATTTATCAGCGAAAACAACAAAACTTTTAGAGCGAAATGCAGAAAGTGCAGAAACATTTTCCGCGGCATGTTCATTCACAAAATTATTTGAAGCAGACATCCGTGAGATACGGTTCCCCGATGATGATGATGAATGGGACGCCGGTTAATTGATACCCAAAAATTCGCTAAATGAATTCCCATTGTTCGCTGTTTTTGGCCATAATGGCTGGGTTTCCATACCAACCAGGTAGTTGGCAATTAAAAGGACTGAGCCCAGGATTCAGATCCCCTGATTCATAGCCATTGTGTGTGATGCTGCGCGCTGATGTCTTTAATTAAATTTGCCTTTAGCCGCAAAATCCTTTTATGCCGGCACCATTTTACTCACGGCTTCCTTTTGGCATTTGACTTTCCCTTTTTCCACGGCCTTCTCTCAGCGGCAAGGATGGGGCTGTGGATTCCAAGGATGCAACCGCAATTGCCCTCGGGCTCCGGCGCGGCATCTTGTGATTTATTATTAAACATGAATATGAATTTCCAGGATGTGCTAGGCCAAGGATAAGAATATGGCGCAAGAGGCGGGCGGACCTGTTGGCATTTTTATGCCAGCGGTTTTTATGATTAATTAAAATTTACGCCCAAGCAAATGAGACACAGACAGTGGCATAAATATTCCTAGCATCAATTCCTTCCTGATGGCCATCAACTTGGGTGATTAAGATTAAGAGGATTGTCATAAAGAAGCACCCAATTTGGCCAACTAATTGAAGGCACTCTTTTGGGGCCGAGTGACGCGGAAAAACTATGAAAAAAAAAGAGAAAAGAAAAGAAAGGCAAGAAGAAAAGCAAAGGAAAAGGAAAAATAAAGGGGAAAAAACGTAAGCGCATTTCATATTTATTAAAGCAATAAAATAAAGTAGCAGGCAACAAACAAGGTCCAGAGTTGTTGTTGTTTTGGCCAGATAACGTGTCCGGAACCCAGAGAAATATCACCGTGTCACCCACACACGCACACGCACACGTCACACTTCCCACACACACCCCACACACACCCATAAATCGGGAAAGCCTGGGCCATTGTTGCTTTGGTTGCGGTTAACGTGCAAATTTGTTGCTTCCCCTCACGATTGGCCTACGGATTTGGCCTATGAAGGAAGCCAGGGGGAATGGAAACTGGGGGACATTGAGACTCTCGGAATGGGAATAAGTAAGGCCGGAGCAGGGCCATAAATTTAAAATTAACCCTTTAGGAGCAAGCCCTATGACCTTCACCGCCATTCCCCCAGAGCAAACTTACTACCTCTCAGCTGGCGGGGGAACCAAAAAGGAGTTGCAGAGATCTCCTCAAAGACCTTCGGAAATTAATCGCCTTTGCAGGTGGCCAGCAAAATCTTCTTTGTGCATTTTAAATCAGTGAAAATAATGCTTTTAATTAATTGAATGAGTTTCTCTCGTTTTTCTTGCATTATCTCTCAATCGAAACGAAATAATTTCAGCATATTGGATTGCAGAAACAAAGTTGTCAATGCAGCAGGAGTAAAAACAGGACCTTCGGAGGCAGAGGAGCACGCCAAACAATAATAAATAAAATGGGAAACACGCTTTTGCCCTCGGGGGGCCTTGGTAAAACAGGGCCCAAAATGGTTGCTAAATATAAACGGGAATGAGGCAGCTCGAATGGCCAAAGGCACCGAGTCCTGCCGAGTCCTGGCCAGGTTCAAGTGGCTGCTTCTCCTTCGCCAGTCAAGACAATTCGAAAAATGCTTTTAAAAGGAAATCAGTAAAGGAATTTCGCTTATGGGCAACTGATTGTGCTGCCATCGACTCGGGCAGAAAGTTGAACAAGTATTGTAGTACTGATGAACGGAAGTGATTCTTTCCTTCTCGCCGCCACACTTGGAAAATTGAATTGTTTTAGATTTTCCTCTCTCCTTTCTCTCTTTCGATTTCGTCCAAGCGAAGCGAATAAATCAAATTGGATTTTCTTGTGCACTTAATTCTCCGACGAACGTTGACCGAAATCCGGAAGTAAACCCAAAACTCAATCAGTAGCCATTGCTAAAAAGTTTATTAGTAGGCTGGCAGCATTTACTCGGAGCCATTATCATCATCGTACGGACTAGGACTAGAATTGGAAATAGAAAGAAAATGTCTGCTATATATAATTTTTTAGAATTGCCCATTCGAGGGAATGGCAGGCAGCCAGTCCTGAGGAGCTGTTGCTCTATCTGTAGCCTGAAAGCTGGCTGCCGAATCATAGCTCTCTTCGAAGCCCTAATCAGTGGAATACAAATCTACTTGGCTCGCCAGGAGATTGGGGAAGTTTCTTACACATCCTCAAAGCTACAGAAGTCGAAAGAATCATATTTGCCGCTCTTTGTGGACAATCCTTATTTTTCCAATGCCCTCGACAGTTTGGTTCTACTAAATTCTTTGATACTCGTTATGGGAGCCGAATTGGTGAGTGAAGTAATTGAGAATAAAGGTTTTTTTAAATTGCATTTCCTTCAAAAACAGTCGAATATACCTTGCCTGATCCTTTGGATTTGCATTACCATTTTATCCAAGTCAATCGATGTTACTATACACTTGATGCAGGGCAATGATCTCACAAGTGCCTTCTTTCTCTGCACTTCACTCAGTAAGTTAATTAAATAATTATATATTAATTAAGTTTTCAAAGAGATCTTCTTGCAGTTATTAAACTCTATTTTTGCGCTGTGGTTGCATCTTTAATTTTGCAAATTAAGAACAAGTTTCGTTCAGGTTTCATGGAAACAGAAGTTCTGTACACACAAGCCGAAGATGTTTAAAGAGACGTGAATAATTTCTCACCCACAAATATATATACTTATTTTTGGTAGAAACAAAATGAAAATTGCAACAGCTTACAAGCTAAGATAAAAGGATACAGACATAAATATGTTAAAGGAGTAAATAGATTTCATGCCTGGCCACTACAACCAATTTTTGAGCTAAATATATATATGTATGCAGAGATTTGCTACTTGAACATGCTAGTACATTATTTATTATTACAGCTAAGTAATTGCATTTTGCATTTCGGTTTTTTTTACACACATGTGTAGATTGTATTGGCGCGGCGGCGATAACTCAAAAATTGATTGCACTGGCAAATTCGAACAGGAACACAAAAACAACAGAAAAGGTGGGAAGGAAACGCTCGTTATATGTATGCATATATCGGTTCATATAACGAAAGCAAACCAAATATGGATGGTAAATATCGAATTTGATTCTTACTTTGGCGTACGGCGATTTTTTGGGCGGCTCTCGCGAGGAGTTTGCCCCGGATGCCGTGGGCGTGCCGCGTTTGTTAGTGCGATTCTTTTTCAGAACGATAACGCGCATGATGGGCAGATATATGTATATATACGTATATATTTATATATCTATATGTATATTTTATATACGCTAGGACAAAGGGTACGTGTGCGTGTACAAGTGATACGGGTACGGATACGAATACGGGTACTAGTTAGTACTTGGTGTTCACGCAAAGTGTTCTAAACAATTTCCAATTCCAATCGAGGTGTCGCTCTGATTTAGCCAAGAGATATGGCCGTTCACAAACGGGTTTACACTCCACGCGACATTGAATATGGCTAAGGATGCGGATACGGATACGGAAGTAGTTGCGTTTGCGGATGCGGAAGTGGAGTAGCAGTAGTAGTAGTGACAGTTGTTGGTGTGTTTACAAGTACGTGTTCAGGTGCGATTGCGATTGCACCCACGAAATGACAAAATGCAAAGCGAGACGAGCCTTTAGCTCCGTTTAGATTCTTACATAGTTGATGTGGCTATTACTAGTAAAGATATATATATTATATTATATATTTGTTTAGCTACAACTAGTTTTAGCAATAAGTATTTTTGTTATTTACAGTACAGTAGAGTTAAGTTTCTTAATTGCAATTTGCAAAAAGCTCTGATTGGTGACTGGTTTTTTCGCTTTCAAGAATTTCCACTACTTGTCTAGTATTTGTTTTCGAATTTTGTTTTAGAAGAAAATGGCAAGCAAGAGATTATTATTATTATTATTATTAAATTCAAAAGAAATTCTGGCAGTGGGTTTACGAGTTTCGAATTCGATTTTATTTTGTTTGGGCGCACGGTGCGTATGCGTGATTGGTTAATAAAGCTAAAGAGTTGGTTAACATGGACTCTTGACTAAGTAGTTTGGTTGCATTACTAGTGTTTTACTAGTGGATCATCGTTAGTTTAGTTAGTTACTTACGCTGAACTCGAAATTCAATTTATCTTTGTTCTTGTGTGTGCCTGAGCCCTGCTCTCTGTGGGGAAGGGAATATATATCTAATATATATATGTTTCGCCTAGAAAAGCCTGCCCTGAACTGAGCTCTAAAAATTATGGCATATATTAGGAGGATATATATATATGAATTGTGTCTGTTTTGGGGGAGTTTGTTGGTTTTTATTTATTTAGTTAATCGTTAATTTCTCTTGATTAGATTTGATTTTGTGGGTTTCTGGTTGTCATTCTTCTCGGTTTCGGTTTTTTCGGCGGCCAATCACACCTCAGAAGCGACGCGAGCACGACGACAGCGACAGCGACGAGGACGACGACGACGACGAGGACGACAAGGACGACGGCGGCACGGACACGGCTATGGCTACGGCACTACGGTTACGATTACGTTTACGGTTACGGCTATGGGCTACGTCTACGGATACGGATGCGGCGCTCAGCTACGACTACGGCTAATTTGTCGAACGAACGGATCAAGCAGCTGGTGCGGAGCAGTACAACCGCGTTACGTATACGTCGGAATGCAAGCACGTGACTGACTTGGAGCGACCGTTGCACGTTGCTTTTATAAACAAGGCAACATTGGAGGTGGAAAAGTCTGGCAACGCTAAGCCATATGCAATTTTCCACGCTCTCTCTCTCTCTCTCTCTCTCTCTGTGGGAGACAGTTTTCCGAGCTCGAGTTCGGCAAACAGCTGATTCACAGAGGTTACAGTTCTGCTAAGGCTCCCCCTTTAAAAATTTCACGTAAATAGAGGTCCTGCTCCTTGACTCTATGGCTTGTAAAAAAAATGTAGGAAAATCACACGCACTAAAGCACACTTTACGAGAGGAAAATTAGATATCGGGGGGAAAAGCACGCTGAAATCAAGCCATTATCGCCGCACTGACCACGCACAAGCTAATCTACCGCAGGACTAACGCCACAGGACCAAACAAAGCGAAGGACGAACCTAGCCCACAGTGGGATCCTTTGGTCACATGCGCATAAGGACAAAGCCAGGACTCAGCTGTTTGACCCACATACGAGCGCCAGTTCATGTGTACTCTCAAGCGTGCAAAAAGGGGGCGAGACCCCGCCTAAAGACAGACCCCCCTCCCCCCATCTAACCCATGAAAAGCGCCCCGGAAAAGCTAATAGCAACAGGTACGTGGAAAGCTGACAAAATAAGCTTATGGTGTAACAAACTTAATTTCAAAATGGTTGGTCTTCCTGCAAGCTTTTATCGCTGGGTTGATTTTCCCGCTAAGCTTTGGCGCTTTTCACCTCGGGAAATTGTTGGAAATTATGGGAAATAGACTTACCTGAGCCCTTATGGCTGCCAAATGGATTTGCTTGGCCCTTAGGTCGAACTTTTTCATGGACAAATCCTCCTGCAGCTCGTTGACCTTGTTGTACAGTTGGCCCTCGATGCCACGTGTCTGGGTACGATTCAGGGCATCAATGGAGTCCTGGGGGAGCAATAAATTATATATTTATAAAATATAGGAAGTGGAAAGGAAACTCATTTCGGGAAGTTTGGTATATAATTGTAGTATGATATTTAAATTGTTCATCATTAACTCAATAATGCATCAATTTCGATTCGGAAAGCAGTTTTATTCAAGTTTTTATTAGGTTAATAAATCTGCATAATCGGTTTATAATGTTTAAAAAATCAATTTTTTTTTTCTATTTTTCGACATTTTAAGGATGTAACCCCTAATAAAAATTTCAAAATTTTGAAAAAAATAATTTTTTCACCGAAATAGCTAGATCGATTTGCCTGTTGATTCTGATCAAGAATATATATGATTTATATGGTCGGAAATTGCTCTTTCACAATTTACAGGCTTTTAACGAGAATTAGAATACCTTGCAAGCGTATTTATATTAAAAACTAAACTATAATTTCCTACCAAACTTTCTTTACAGCATATTAAACAAAAAATATAGTTCCCTAGTAGGCCAGTTGTTAAACATTCCTTTATAGCTGCTGAAATAGAATCTTTAAAACAATGTCCTGCTTTCGAAAATCTGTAGAATATTTTATCGAAATAATTAAGACCAAATCTTGGTGGCGAAAGACAAAACAAATTTGGCAAGAATCAACCAGACTCGATGGCGCTTTTTATTTCCTTGATTTGGAGCAAGGCTGCCTTCTAATAGCTCTTTTCGGGGCTCTGGTGAGCTTTGTAAAGATCTGCTGGATATATTATCTAGTCTACAGATCGGACACAAGGTCATTGTTCCCAGATCCCATTTGGGTTTTTTTAATGTTTAAAGATAAAAAGCAATATTTCGTTTATCACCACACACACTATCAATTCCATGTGGGGCGAAATCTTGTTTCTATATTGAATTCTACGTTGTTATTCTGGGGAGTTAAATGGGTAAGTTAGGGAGTAATTAAAGAAATAGCTTAATACTTAAAAAATTAATTAAACTTATCCCTCAGGCCTATGTGGTTTTTCTGTATTATTGGATTCATATTGCGATCTTCACCTGGGCCATGGAATTTTATAATATGCTCTTTGACAACTTTAAGCTTTCTCAAATGTTTCTTTTTATGTTACCTACATTTGGTAAGAAATCTGCCTGGAAATGTAGTATTAAATTAAACTAATCTGATAACTTTCCACAGGGCTTCAAGCTTATTTCATTGTAATAGTTATATCTTTAATTTGGAAACTAGGCGAGAAGCCGAATTCTAAGACCAAAGAAATCCAAGAACCAACCTTAGAGCTTATGAAATAATGAATTAAGAAGAATTTCGGAGGATAAGAATGGTTCAAATATAAACTAGGATACATCAACTAAGCACATTCACATTCAAAACAAATTAAATTTTAAATTTCAAACCCTTAATTTCTCTTAAACTTCAAATACCCTTTAAGGAGATTTTCTCTCCTAGCTTTAAGGATTTCTTTTCGGTGCATTGTGTAATCCATCTTACCTGCAACTGACGTATTTGCAATTCCAATTCGATGGCCTCTCGCTTCAGCGACTCTAAGGCGGAGCGCTGGGACAAGGTGGAGTGCCGGTCAAAGACCAATTCGTTCCTCAGACAGGGCGTCATCTCCTGCAAATAAGCACACATACACCTCTGGTTAGATGAGGTTGCTCCACTGGACACATCTACTCACATTGTGGTCACCCGCCTCATCGCCAGGCTCGCCTTGAGGTGGGGCAAAGACCCGCCGTGGCACCTTCTGAGCCTGCGATGGCTGGGCCAGCAGGCGGACGAAGTTCACCAGATCCTGTTGAGGTGACACGGCTCCACATTGGCTGGTCAGGTTGCTGTACCGCTTGGCCTGGTCGCTGGCCTGCAAAAAGGGAAATGGTATTTTGAGAAACCAAAACAGGACAAGACACCTGTCACAAAAATGTGAATATGCCTAACCACAAGGACTTTAAGCTCAAATTGTGGGTGGAAAATGGTACAGTTTACCTTTAAGGGTTCATGCAATTACCCAACATTTACCCCACCTTACATTGTGTAACTCCAACGACAAAACGTCAACAATGCTATCCCGCTTAGCCCCGCCCTTGGAGCATTAGGCAAATTACCACAGCAAATTGCTACTCTGGGCAATTATTATAATCGTGTACAAATTATTTTCCAGGAAACAAAAGCGTCGCAAAAATTAACTCGAATTCCAGGCGCCAGAACAAATGGCCACAGGTAACCCACCTGCTGCAGAGATAAATCACTGCCCCCAAACCCCTGCCCCGCTCTTAGTGCTAGGACTCACCTTGGTGGCAATTACATCGGCGCCCTGCAGCAGCGAGTCGGACACAATGCCGCACAGGTCATTGTGGATCTCCTCCAGCTCCTGCATCTGCTGGGGCAGGGTGTCGCAGTGGTAGGCCTCCAGCATGCCATTGGTGGCATGCAGCTGCTGCACGTACGCATTGTGGGCGTCGATGTATTCGGTGAGCGAATGCTGGCTGGGATTCTGTCGATGGGCCTGATGGCACTGCTTGTACTCCATCCGGCACTGGGGAAAGTGTTGCAAATGCAAGAGGCTTAAATTGCTATTGAGAATGGGTCCCCAATTTATGGGTAATAACACGCACAGTCCACACGGCGTATGCGTGTTTTTTTTTTTGGACAGAAAGGAATATTAAAGAGAGATGGTTACTTTATAGGAATATTTCTAATGGAATTGTCTATCATTGGGGGTTTTAAGTTACACATAAACATGCAAGTTTTTTTTAAATTAAAAGGTTTTATATTAGTAGGGGTCTTTGCAACACGCAGCTCTTAAAAATATAAGAAATTTAATGAGCAGAAATATTTGACAATATTTGTGAGCAAAGATCTTTTGCTAACTCTATTAATGCTTAATCAGTTACTAAAGGTACATATATCCCAAGTCATAGATTCAGTGTTATTATCCTTCAAAGACTAGTTTATTTTGATTTCCCTGGGCACAGTCTAATGGCTTTTTGCTAATTAACTACCAACACTCACTCACCTTTGACAGCTTCTCTTCAGTCTTTGCGATAATAGTCTCAAAAGACTCCCTGTGTGTGAATATTTTACGGCTTTGAACTTTGCGATGAAAGGATTTATCCAGCATTGGTCTCGACACCTGCGGGTAAGGTTAAATAAATTATGTATGCCATTATTTGTTACCACCACAACAAAGCAATGGAAAAAAAGAAAAACCAAATCATCGTGAAAAATGAAAATTAAATGTGTGTGTAAGCCAAGCAACAACAAACATTATTCGGCACTCGAAAAACACATGTCATTTCCCAAGGCCCCGGCAAGGCCACGCCCCCACTAATTAACCATAATTAGAGTCTGCTTTTTATAATGCAAAATGGGGATTTTTTTTGAGAGAGACAAATAATCGCCTGTGGTTTTCCATACACAACCGATCGATGGCACAAATATAATTATCATATATTATTATTAATTGAAATCTGGTTTTCGGTTTCTAAGGGCAGAAATGAAAATAAATCAAATCCCAACAATAACTTGAATTTTAAAAAATTCTTTCAAGGCAACTGCATTCCGCAGCTCTTTGCCATTTCTATTTTCATTGAAAGCAACTGAATATTTAACCAGACACGATATGGCCATTAAGCCATTAAGATTTCAGCAAGTTTTCGGCGAGGAAAACTGCCATTTATAATAGTTAAAGGTAGGCATGAACATTAATGAGTGAAATAGTTTCCACCAATATAAGGAAAATCAAGGGAAATCATTTTAAGGTATCTAAAAAAGTGTAAGCATTATATTAACACATATTTCAAAGACTTACCTGGCGGGAGAGGACGCTGGCCACGTCGTTGCAGGCCTGTGAATCCGTTTCGACCTCCTGCAGGAATGTTTCCCATGCCTGAAAGATGGCCAAGTGGCAGGCGGGTCTGCAAACACAGAGTATTTTGATATAAAATTCTTCTCAATGATATTAATTTCTCTTAATACTCACCTTTCTTTGCGTAATTCGGCATTCTTTTTGCGATAATTGGACACCGCAACTTGAAGGGCAGTCGCGTGCTCCTCATACAGACGGGATAGTGTTTCGGAGAAATCGGATACTGTAATTGAATTAAATTGGTCAAGGAAAACTCGGGGAAATAAAACCGGAAAGCAGTCGTCACGCTTTATGAGAGAGAGAGAGAGAGAGAGAGTGGGAACTACGTAAGCATTAGAGACGCAAAGTAACTGAGCCGGAAACGGAAATGGCAGATGAAAGAAAGAAAGCTGCAATTTTACAGCCATAGTTTAAGTAAGACATTTGCCATTGCTCTTACTTTGTTTCCCCAACCCCCTCGGCAGCAAAAACACTCCAAGTTTATGTGCAGTAAAACTGCTCTTCAAAAGAGGCACTGACTTTACGTCAGGATAATCCATCATATTTACGATTATTGTCCCATATACGTATGAATATGGAGGTGCCTTAGGTTTAACATTCGCTTGGCTTTTAGCCTCTTAACCTGTCGGTTTTATGTCGGCCAACAGGTTGTTGTTGTGGACAAGGCCCTGAAAACTTGAAAGTTTACCATGTTGTGTGTTCGTGGCAAACTTTAATTTAATCAATATTTTCAACGGCTCAGCAAAAATGTTATTATAAACTTTTGATGCTGCGGAATAGAACTTGTTGTAGTTATGTTTTCTTTCTTTCCCGCTGGGACAACTTTCAGTGACAGCGCCGTAATTCAAAGTCCAAAGTTATGTCGAAAAGTTGCAGCTGCGCCGGAGATTGTCCGCCGTGTGTGGATAAACATACTCGAACAGAACAGAAACTCAAAGATGAGATGAATGGATTTTACGAGGCTTTTGGCTAAGGGCTAAGGGTAATCCGAATAACAGATTTATCTTTCCCAGTGACGGTTCGACACAGAGACAATTGGCAATGGAAATCAATAAGCCATAAAAGCGACAACGACGGAACTTATCAAATAAAATGCTGCCACATAAATTGCTTCTGTTGTTCCCATGTTTTTCCCTTTTTCCCAGGTGCCTCTGTGTGTGTGTAAGCCGAAACTTATCCTGCTGATTTCCACACGCTTCGGTTTTTCTCTGGATAGTGGTGGCAAAAAAGGGAACACTATTGAATATATTCAAGCGTAAAAAAGGGGATTCTCAACTTTTAAAGATACTTTTGTATTTATAATTTAATGAGGTATTATTTATATACCAAAGAAATAAAAGTTGAATTTAGCAGCTCACTTTAATAAAGCTTTCATTTGGCCCTAAAAAAAAAGGTGCCACCTGGCAGCCCACCTGCCGTCTTGCGTGCCAGGTGGTGGCATGTTCCGTCTCCCGTGGCGGGACTACGAATTGGATATGACTTACACACACACACACACACACACACGTGTGTGTGCCACATGTGGCTTACACACCAAATAGATTGGCTTTTGCTCACCTGTTTTAATTAACTTAAAGTTGACATTGTTCTGGGATTTGAAAGCCTCGTTCAAACTGCTGTGACTGTAATCCTTGAGCACGCCGTTGTAGGACGCCATCCTGCCGCCCTGGGGGCTAAGGGCACCACCTCGTGGTCCCCTCCACCCAAAGATCCTCCTACGACTTCTTCGACCACTTGAAGATTTTACCGAAGAACCTGTTTTGCCACAGCATCAAGAAATAAAATATATTAATCTCAATATTTATTTTCTGTGTTAAGTTGAAAGGCAAAAATTAATCAAAACAATTAAAGAGAGAAAACAAACAGAACGCAAATTCCAAACCAAAACAAAACAAACCGAATTGAATGCAAACAAATGAGAATTATTTCAAAAGCGAAATGTGATTTGATTTTCGGTAAATGGAATAAAGTATCCGTCGGGCAATGTCAGGAATTATTTTGGCCACGCCATGATAAATACACAAGTCACTTCAGTCCGACGTCCCACTCCTTTCGACCAATCAAACAGATCGCTGCTGCCTTTTGTATTTATGCATAAATAATGAGTGGAGGCAGCACTTTCCACCTTCCACGTTTTCCCCGCTTTTCCCTTCGTCTCCTTGGGCTTCTATTTTCGTTTGGGCTTTCGTGTCGGGCCCAAGGAGGAAATTTCGAGTGTTTCAGTCTCTAAGACAGCGCCTAAGCTCAAGAACCATTACTAAAGTCAATACGAGAAAATATGTACACTGGTTATTGGAAATATGGAACTGTCTATAATAGGGGTTCAATTATAGTTTAAATATATTTTTTACATTACTTTATTTAATATATTTAAAGGCCTTTTTTAGATTATATTATTCTTTCCAAAAAATATTTGAAGGAATTTTAAATTGCCTTTTGAAGCACAAAACGCAGTGAAGGAATCATTTGCGACCCTATAAATCATATATATTCTTGATCAGCATTAAAAGCTGAATCGATCTAGCTATTTTTGGTAAAAATTTAATTTTTTCAAAATTTTTAAAATTTTATAAGGGGTTACGTGGTTAAAAATGACGAATAATATTGATTTTTTTAGATTTCAAACTGAGTATGTAGATTTATTAACCTAATGAAATCTAACAAAGTACCGCTTTCCGAAATAAATTTAAAGAATTTTTAGCTGTGTTATGAGTTTTTTAAGATTTCATTTGTAGAAAAAATTGTCATAAAAAATATAAATTAATATCGGCTTTAATCGCTAAAAATTTAAATATTGTCAAAAATTTTAAATTTTTTACATTTTAAACTGAATATGCAGAATTGTTAAGCTACTAAAATATATCACAGAATTATTTTCCGAACTAAAATTAATGCATTTTTTGCTAAGTTATGATTGATTTGATATTCGGCAAGATTATAAAAACTTAGTCCTTCCAAAGTATGTTCTTTTCTTGTTTTAGAATAATTTTTCCTTTCAGTATAAATGCCTCAATGTTTCTCTATACCCCTATAAATATATTATCCTTTCCACTTTCATAATTTCCATTGCCACTGTATGATTGTAGGATCCTTCCCGCTCTCCCTCTCTGTGTAGTCCTTGCCTTTGGTCTGCTGGTCCTTCCGTCTGCCGCTGGCGGCCAAAGTCAAAGTTAGGCCAAGAGATGGTGGGAGGGAATCTCTCCTCATTTAAAATTCAATCAATAAATGAAGCGTAATTTCATTGCCGCGCGGCGAGAGTCGAGATTTGGCCTGAACGCACACTGAAAATGCTCGAGGGTCTGTTCGATTTGTGTGTTTCGTGATTGTTTCAGAAGGACTCCCCCCAGACCCCTCTTCCCATTAGTGTCCAAGTGTCCAAAGTGTCTGTCCGTCTGCCTGTCTGTCTTTGGGTTACACTTGGCCGTGTTTGTTTTGCACACAACTCTCACACGAGGCTCAATTACTGTCTGAATGAAATATGTAGGAGCTGCATCGCTCGCCCACAAAAGTATGCTATGGGAATTATTAAGGGACCGCGCTGCATGAAATGCTTGGGCAGCTGTCGCATCCTTTTAGCCCCAATTCAGTCCAATTTGAGGGCGGAATAAACAAGAGGGCGTGTCCGAGATTGCCAGCGATCACGTAGCTCTTGATTTACTTTTGCCGTCGGTCATCAAATTTGCCGCGCTGTGAACTTTTAAATGAATTCGAGTGGGCTGAGGAGGTCCTGGGTGGCGTCAGCAGCTCACGTGCCAGCTGCAAGGATGTCGTTATCGTTGTTGTTGATTACACTTCACGCGCTGCTAAGCTGACATTCATTTCGGGTCCCGACAGTCGCAGCAGGATGTGCGGCTCCAGCAGCTGCTGCTCCTGGTGGTGGGTGGTGGGTGGTGTGTGGTGGGTGTCCATTGGATCCTTGTCCTTTCCTTCAAGGAATTATGTGCGTGCTCGGGCTTGGCAGGCACGCTATGCAATTGCAGTTGCAGTCGCAGTTTGCATCACTCCAGGTAATCCAATTATGCATGCAAGGAACACCTTTTGGCCCGACTCAAGCGATAAGGCATCGCGGCGATGAATGCGCAAGCATCCTTAAGCTCTTTAAGTCCCGATGCCCCCAAGTGTGTGTGTGTGTTTAGTACCAAAAGTTAACCAAGCGAGGACATAACAAGGATGGGAATGCAAGCAAAACTTTGGCCAGGCCAAAGGTGGCTGTGTGGAGTATCCTTGGCAAAGCCTTGAGGCTCTATTGTGCGAGGCTTTGACGTTTCTAGTTCTTTTTCTAATTGAAAGGTTAACTAATAGTTTTAAGAATAGTTATTAACTTGGAAATTCTTTGTTAAACAGACTTTAACATGATATTCTAAACAAGCAAATAGTTTCTTCTTTTCATTTAAATATTTATTTGCCTGACTTTGATAATTAAATATGCTCCTTGTGGAAGCAGGCAATTTACACCAAGGATATGCCAGCATAAATGCAAGACTCAACGCAATTTCATAACTCCAACATAACTCAAACTGCGGTTTCAAACTTGCAGCAGATGTAAAGTTTGCTTTTAATTAAAGAGCTTGTTCCGGACTCTAACTTTCACACAGTTGAAGCGAATGCAATTTGCATAAAAGTGAAGTGAAGTTATGTACGTTTAAGGGAATTTCTTGGCTTAAGCTGGAAAACTTCAAGTGTAAAGTGAAAGCCGGAAAAGCTCTGAAAATCTATGTTATGTTATGTGGCAAATCATCTGTAGGCTGCTCTACGAGACGCGAGCGGCAAGACAACTGTAAACGATTCGATTAGCAGGTGCTAGAGTAGACTTGGAAGGCACCTGTCACCTTTGGAGGGCGCTCCGGTTGTACTGCCACCACCGCTGCCGCCGCCGCCGCCACCGCCACTCGCTCCCATGGCTCCATCACATTGATCCGCACTCCGGGATCTAGCGCTGGCCATCCGCTCGCGCTCTTCCTTGGGTGACCTTGCAAATAATCCTTCTGCCCCGCTTCCACCTCTTCCCTTGCCGGCAGGACTTCGCGTCCTGGGTGAGTCATACACACCCGCATAGTTCTCCAGGGGCAGGGGCGGCGAGTAACCCCTGCTATCCGCCGGCGCCGTGTGAGGCGTGCGAGGCTGTACCTTGATGACCGGCTCGCGGGCCTCGAAGAATGCATCGAAGTTGTTCTGGCGCAGATTCTCGCTACTAAATACCGGATTCTCCACGTGCACGTGCACATCCTCGCGCAGTCTGTTGCTCTCCTTGGTGTCCGAGGAGCTGGATCGCCCCAGTCGCCCCAGCGGCAGATGGAGCTTGGGTCGCAGCCTCGATTTGCCGCCGGTGGGTGACTTGCTGCCGGGTCCACTGGGTGCCGGTGACCGCTCCGGTGGCAAATCCATGGGCGACATGGGACGACCCCATCCCGGCCCGAAATGGGCATGCGTGGGATCCGGTGTCGGTGGCTCCAGAAAGATACTGGGACTCCGGGAACGCAGATCGCCATACTCTAGTGCTCCCGCCTCCTCGTACGCTGCGCTGCTGCGCTGGAATGGTGCTCGTCCTGGCCCAGTGGCACTGCTCCCCGGCAACTGGCTGGCATCATCATAGTCATTATACATGGACGCAGCAGGCGGACGCTGGTAGTTCCTCCGGAGGCTGCTCCGCTTCGTGGAGCCCTGATTGGAGAGGTTCGAGTGATTGGAGTGGGTCAAAGAAGCGCGCGATGTCCGGCGGGTTGGAGTGGGCGGTAGGCTCTGGGATTGGGATTGAGTGGGGGACTGAGAGAGAGGCGGATACTGAGACTGATACTGGTACTGGCTCTGCACCACCGGTGGTTCCTCCTCAAAGTTGAAGAAGTTGCCTCCGTTGGGGCCGAGGGCAGTGGGTGATCCTGGATAGCTCAAGAGAGGCGAAGCAGGCGGAGTGCCTAGAAAGGAAGACGTAAAGACCGGCTGAGTGGGCGGAGTGTCCTCGAAGTGGACAATGGTGGCGGCGGCGGCGGTGGTGCTGGTTGAGGCTCTGGTGGGGCTGTTGCTATTGATGGCGATGTTACTGGCTGTGTTGATTTTCCTCTGGGACCTTTCCGGTATCTCGATGGGCACGAGCGGCTCCCGGAGGCAGTCGAGTGTGGGTCGCGGTTTCACACGGGGCGCAAAGAAACCATAGGTCATCAAGATGAGCTCATCGGCGGGATATATTACGTACATTCCTCACCGTCCCCATGTGGCATGGTGGCACTAGATCTAACTAGATCCTAACCAGATCTCTCGGAGGCAGTCAAGGTGGGTCTAGTGGTGGGTGCTTTCGGTTCAGTTCGGTCTGGGGTCCTGTGTCTTTTAAGGGTTTTAGTTTTCTCTGTTAGCAGTGCTGGTCTGTCTTTTGTGGGTTTCGTCTAACTAAAGTCGTGTAACCAAAAATTAAATTCAGAGTATCTATTCGTAGGCGTAACTAGGGCTTAATTAACGTACTTTCTGCTACTCGGTTATATCACAAAGTGAGTTCACGTTTTATTTATTTCCCGGGGACGTGCTGTCATTTGGATCGCTGCATGTTGCCCAAGACGATGATGCGATGCTGCAAGTAAGACAACAGAGAAAGATTAATTAGTCGTAATTACTAGGGGGAGGATGTTAAATATTTTGAGAAACACAAAACAAAAGTTTGGCCACAAAAAAAGAGGGAAGAAAGAACTCGCCGCCTCATTAAAAACATTTTCGGTCTTTGTGCCGCTCGGTCACTCATTCATGCAAGTGTTTCGCATTTTGCTCATTAAATTGTTTCGTTTTCTCGGGAAGAGCAGAAGTTACTGGGGTTTCGGGGTCTCGGGATTTAGGTCAAACTTCAGGGCCCCCAGTCCTGTAGAAGTTGGCACAACAAAGTTTGGCACAAAGCAAATTTCTGGCCAGGTTTGAATGGCCAAGGCCAAGGACCACAGAACTCGGAGGTCCAGGTGGTCATTTGTATGGATGCTTAGAAAACAGGAAAACACGGAGAGAAATAATCCAAGTCAAAGATTTTATAGACTCCATTCTAGTTTATATATGTACATATATTTTAAGGAGTATTTATTATAAACTATCCAAGTAATCCTTTGAACAATTTTCCATTTAATATCCATTAATGGTTAAGAAACTATTCTAATAATAACCAGCCACATTATATATCATAAATCACAATAATTGTATAATAACACTGCCATTTTCCTTAGTTTTCCCAGTCAGTTCTCTAGTCAAGTGACCCCATCCAAGTCCACCCATCGCTCACTATCTAATGGATGTGAGCTCTAACACAAATTAACAGGAATTGGCAATGACAGCCGGGGCTCAAAGTTGCCAGGACCTTCTCGAGGACACCCACACAACCCCTCTACCTCTCTTTCCGGACAAGTTTTGTCCGTGTGTGCGTGTTGAATCCTCTCCTGGGGGCTGGGAGCGGGGTCAGGGGTCAAAATTACGAGCTCACCACATGCAAGGCTTATTATTATGCCATTTTATTGGCCAATCGATGGGCCCCGCATCAATTAAATTTGCATTAAATATTCATGATAGCCGATGGCTAACCGTTGCTTTAATTATCGGATCAGCATTAACTGAATGAGTGATTATAGATTGCCATTGTCTTGTTTCTGTGACACCATAAATTACAGAGACAGAGTCTGGGATTTCAATGGGATAATATTTGGGTACTTGATTAGAAGAAATATAAGAGACAGGAATGGGGACTTTTAGTTTAAATTTAACCTTGATTAAAATAATAAATATAAGTTAGTTAAGAATGAAACGAATCTCTATAACTAAACCCTTTATATGGTTTTATAAATATAGTCAGGGGTTTATAAATATGTAAAGGAGTCATTTCCGACCCCATAAATCATATATATTCTTGTTCAGCATTAAAATCCGAATCGATCTAGCTAGGTCCGGCAACGTTTAAATTTTTTAAAAATTTTAAAAATTTTATAAGGGGTTACATCATTAAAATTGTCAAAAATTTACAAAAAATTTTCATTTTTTTACATTTTAAACAAAGTATGCAGAGTTATTAGCCTAATAAAATCTTGGATGGGACAGCTTTCGGAATTAATATTAATTGATTTTTGGCTTAGTTATGGGTTTTTGAAAATCTGATTTGTAGACAAAATTTTGGTATAAAAATATCTTTAAATACTGATTTAAAGAAGAGAATATTTTATGCTTAGTAATTTCCGATTCAATATCATAATTCCATTGCAAACTGAAACTGTATAAATATAGGATTCCCGAAATAAGTTTACATCAAATAAAAATACCATCAAGATCCAAGTAATATAAACCTTTTCAAGAAAATCCCGAAAACCCTTGCCTAAAAGTAATCCCCTTCCGGTTCAAGTTTACATTTTCCCCCAAACCCCTTCTAAGCTTCTTGTAAACTTTTACTCTTTCATATGTTCTATGAGGACTCCATTTACAATTTGCATAATTGATATATAATTGATACTGACCCAATCGGAATCACCTGTGGGCGATGTGTGCGTGTGTGGGGGGTGTGGGGGTGTGGGGGTGTGTGTAAGGCGGGGCCTTGGCCGGCATTAAAATCGCATTACGCCAACTGAGGCATGGGGGAGAAATCGGAATCGGAATCGGAATCGAAATCGGCGAGATTAAATTCATATATCGCGCGAGAAGCGACCTTGCGTGTGCGTGTATGTGAAAATGAGGAAAAACCCAAAGGAAAAAACAAACTTACAAGAAGAATGTGAGATGAAGTGGAATGCGGGGATTTTTATAATTTTGTGCTTTCGGCGGGGAGGAAATTGTGAGGTACGAACAGCGAATTCAAGACTGAAATTGCATTTCATAAACGAGGGGCGGGGCGGGGGGCTACACAGCTTGTGGCAAGGCGAACCAAAAAGAAATCACGCAATTTAATTCAATGTGAATTATTTATTAGCTGCCAGATACTATGGGGGGCGGGGTGGGGGCACAGCGGATGCCGTGTGGCACATGAATAATTCCCCCTATTTAATGCCGAGGCTTTGAAGGTTGCACAGAGAGACAGAGAGAGAGAGAGAGTGTGTGTGAGTCTTGGAAGCTGGCGATGACACTACCCCACAATGTACGCAAATATTTCCTTTCCATCCGTTCGACTTTCTACTTTCTCCCGCCACACACACTCTCTCCCTCTCTCTCTCTCTCTTTCTCCCGGATAATTGAATTGTTTTGCTGCACTTTAGCAGCTCGTTAAATCTGTCAACATTGATCAATCAAAGCGGGTACGGGCCGAAGGGATAGTGGGTGAGTGAGTGAAAGTGGGCGGGTGACAAGGGAAAGTTCCAGCAGTCAGCCGCCGGGCTTAAAGTTATAAAAGCAAAAGCAGGGAGCAGGAGCTGGAGCAGGGAAATGTCCTCTGCAAGCGACTGGCAGCAGCATTTTTAAAAGCATTTCCATTTTCCCCTCACAGGAGCGACAACAAAGGCAAGGCAGATGGAGAAAAATATGACACGACCGTGAAATACCTGACCCCAAGTATTTTTATTTTATTATTGAAGCAAGAACTTGCTGTAATTTGTACTAATTTTAAAGTAAACATAGAAAAACAGACAATATATGCATATGCAATACTTCAGCGAAAAGTATTTCTCTCAAAGTTCTAGCACCAGCAAATACCTAATCATAAAACCCAATATACCCCTAAACTTTTTTCAAACAATAAGTATGATAAACAGAAAGCAATTTGTGTGAAAATGCAGAAACAGAAACAGCAGTCATTCTCTGCGAGCCATAAAAATGCAAGCGTTTGCAAAATATTAAAATTAATTAACTGCAGGAAACAATGGCAGGCAGGACGCTTATCAGAGAAGTGGCCAGAATGAGGAAGCTATGAGGCAGCAAACAAAGTGATATTAATAAACGCGCAGACTATCTATCCCCGCCCTCCGGCCATTTGGCAAGGGGCACAGTGGCCAAGATGCTCGGATGCTCCGATGCTGAGCAATGCCCAGGAAAAGCCGGCCAACTAGAGGAAGCAAACTTGACTCAAGTGCATTGTCAAGGCGGATAAAAAAAAGAAAAAGAAAAGCAAGAATAAATAATGAAAAAGCTAAGAAATGCAGAGCAATGTGAAGGCGCCCATGCGATGCCATGCGATGCAACGCTCTCGGTCAGAGACATACATAATTACATGGCAGTGAGCCCAGAAGACGACGGCACATATTTATATTTAAAAGCATATAAACAAATGTATTATAGTGGGTCTGCATGCCGAGTTATTCGCTTCTGGCTATGAGACTACAAATTAACCAAATTCTTTGCGAAATGCGGCAAAGATCAAGGTAACTTGGCAACAACCCTTGACCCTGTTGTTTTTTTTTTTTGAAAAACCAACCAATACTCAGGTAAAATCAAAAACTAATGGTCTAAATATACAAGGAAAGCAATATTTAACAAGCAAAACGAGTAGAGTTCAAAAGGAAACTTGGCTGCAAAACTAAAATCCAACTTTAGCAATTAGGAAAACTTTATTATTTCAATAATTTGGCTGGACTTTTGGGTTTTAATTATACTTTGCTTAGCTTTAAAATTGAGTAGAATATCCCAGCTTTTTCTACCTATTAAATAAATGTTAATTTAGTAAACCATTCTTATTTATATCAATTAGTTGCCTCAGAGTACAAGGTTAAGTATTACAATCAAGAATGATCCATCTTGTTGATTCGACCATAAGCTTAAGGTACTTGAAAAATGCTCATTATTCCCATCGACAATCACAAAGGCAGTCCCTCATCAAATGGCTCAATCAATCTCATCTCAGCCAGCAATTTTATACTTGAGCTGAGAGCAACAGCCATTGTTAAAGGGCCAACAATACGGTCTTGTGCTGATTTGTGTGAGCCATAATTCGACATAATTTCCATACACATTGAAATAATTCCAGCAGCCATCACAATCAAAAGCAGATACAGACGCACAGATACAAAGATACAATCCATGGATACAATGCTCCAGGTAGCATAGACATGTATGAGATACTTATGCGAAAGGAAATTAGGTGAAGCAGATGGAAAAGCAGGAGGAGAGCTAAGTGAAAGCAAGACAAACAAAGCTGTCGAAGAGAGTAAACTCAATTTATGAGGAAAAGCGTTCCAAGAGGCAGGCCCCAAAAAACACGCAGTGGAAACTCACACAACGCAAATTGCGTATTCGCAACGTGGACCCCATATACAGAGTTACCCAAGCAGCAAAACCGACCGCCGAGGGTTGCCTCGGGTTTGGACTTGGGCTTGGGTTCTGGATGGATGGCTCCCCACTCGAATTGAAATTCTGTCTGTCTGACATGCCACACACACACAACACACACACAGCACACACCCGAAATTCGACATTTTTGGGGCGCACTCAGCAAGCGCAGGGGTTGGAGTAGCACATTAGGCTAATTAAACAGAACCTGGCCATATACCAGGCGGAAAAATCTACCTAATGGTAATAAATACAACGTTGCACAAGGGTTTTCAAAAGGTGTTGAGAGAATATAAAACAAGGAATTAAATACAAAATTATATAAATAAATATAATGAGCAGAGAGAGACAGAGCAAAGATATTCGAAATTATGTTTAAGGTATTTCATATTTTATAGGAATATGATTAATCCCAAGTTATAATTTAAAATTTCTGGTTAAAAGTAAACTAAATACAAATAATTAAATATAAAATTTATAGAACATACTATGAAATACTGGTGGTTTCTAAAGTAATCTCTTAAAACCCTTAAATATGTATCCAATATTGAGCTAAAAACTTCTGAATGGTAACAAACCTACAAATTTATGCTGAATATGGTACGTAAACTATATTATTGGGTACTTGAATTTATATTTCAAAGGATTTAAAACATTCTAATGTTGTCTGAAACATCATAGATTGTTTTTTGCTATATTTGCCACCAAAAATCACTGCTTAATACCCAAATTGAATATTTAAAATATCAAATTCATTGCAAAATTGTTCAAAATGACCAACTTAACATAAATTGAAATATATATTCGAATGAAATTAATTTAAATGAATATTATATTATTCATAAACTCACCGTTTAGAGAATCGGCAGCAATGCTGAATCCTTATTTTGTCGTTGGGCATACATTTCCCTTACTTGGGACTGTTGTTTTAGTTTAACACAAATGTTGTTTTTATTTTGTTTACACACAACACACACACGCACTGCTGTTGTTTGTCCGATTCACTGGATTGATGTGTGGCACATGTTTTTTTGGGTTTTTTTGACTTTTTGGTTTTGGTTTTTGGTTTTGGTTTCTTGGTTTTAACTTGTGACTTGGTTTCGTTTCGTTAAGCTCGTTTCGAGTCGTTTACAGTACAGCACTGGACACACACGCGGGCACAACAAATCATAAATAATATTTATAATAATAATAATAATAATGATGATAACAACAACAGGAACTACGACCGATCGACGACGAATTTAGACTGAGACTCGAGCAGCTGTAAGCATTGGGTTATTTTGACAATTTTTGTTTTTGTTCCGCCGCTGCTGCTCTTTCTTTTTGCTGTGCTTTCTCGCGATTTTCATGGCTGCTCTGCTAATGTTGCTGCTGTTGCTGTTGCTAATGTTGCTGCTGCTGCTGCTGCTGGTGGCATTTTGCATGTTGCTGCTGTTATCATTACCGCTTCCATTCCCCGTTCGCTTGCCTTCGGGGGTCAACGCGGCGTATGCGCAATTTGGTATATTTATTTTTGTTGTGTTTTATTGGATCGCCGAGACCAGTTTATACCGCATCCGTGACGTCGCTGCGCTTATCCAGCCAATGACGTCATGGCGTTTGCCATCGCTGTCACAGCTGTCACGCGCAGAAAGTGTTCGAACTTTATTTATAGATCGCACGGCCTCCGTCTCAATCCCCCCGCCAGAGCCACCCGGCCGCATCAGCTGCTGCTGCCGCTAATTTTTGCAAGTGTTTTTCTTTGCGCTTTTCTTAGGATCGCCTGAACCTGAAAATAGAAAAGCATAGAGTGAGAGAGTGAGTGAGAGAGAGGTGGGCAGAGTGAGTGGGGTGGTGAGGCCGAGGTGGAAATTGTCGCTTTTCGTGTGTGAAGAAGCTCATTGAAATGTTTGCGCGTACTCAATTTTTATTCGCATCTAAATATATATATATGTATAAATATAAGTGTGCTGATACGTAGTATACACGCGCTTATACTAGAGACATTTTTCCTTGTTTTTTCCCACAGAGAATGGCAATCGATGGCGAGCATGACGATTACTCATACGCCCCGAGAGCCGAGAAGCAGATGCGAAATGCAAATTAAATTGCATTCAAATGTTTTGCACACCCCAAAAAAAAGAAGACCAAAGAAAAAAAAAATTGCCTCAATTATTATTTATGAGCCATTGAAGAAGCTTTAAAAAGAGGTGCAATCAAGGCACCCAAAAGTATCTGAATGATATATACAGTGTGAGCTTTATAGAGTGAATATTGCCTTGGATGAACTTTAAGTAGATCTATATAAATTAGGTATCATTTCTGTGGTATATTCCCAAACTAAGTGTTGATGTTAATCACTAATTTATGAGGTATTTCAAAAGGGAAATAAATAAATGAAGTAAAATACATTAAATTGATTTCACTTTAAGCAACCTTTGGACTCGTTTCAGTGCAGTACAAATAATAAATACAATTCAAGTGGCTTTTTCTCTATTATTTTATGCAAAATAATAATGCTCTATGTTATTCATATATTGTTTCATTGTTTATTTGTATTTACTTATTGGTTTTTATTCTGATTGGTATATATAGACGTGGGACTATTATATTTATTGTATGAGGTGGATGAGGTTTTGAATGTTAATAATAATTATGAAGATAAGAAAGATTCTATATTAACTTGATCATGTTCAGAACCCCTTATCATTTATATTATTTCTGCATTAGTTATTTATTATTTTATTGTTTGTTTATATCACTTGTAAATTTGTAGAGATTTGTAGAGATTTTTTTAAAGACAAAACGCTAAGTAAACTTCTTTATACAAGCTATATTAATGTATTAGCAATACACTGTATTTTTCCTCACTCAGAGTTAATTAAATCACACAGTGTCATGCTTTTGATGTTCAGTTTTCCTTTAATTGCATTAAATTACTCAATGTGTTAACGTTGTCTGAATTCCCGATCCCATTTATTGAGCATTGTGTCCTGTTGTCAGTAGCCACGGCCACCTCTCGGGGGATTGGGATTGTAGGGCGACGGCCTCGTATCGAAAATGGGTCCCTGCTGGCGATGGGGCTCGCAAAGTGTGAAAGGAGCCGTGGCAAGGACTCCCAGCAGGACCAGGAATATCGCTCCAAGATTGAGTTGCATCTTTGCTCGGTGACGGGAATTGATTGATGCTTTGAGCAGGCAGCTTGCTCGGCTTTTATAGCCAAGAGCCCCGCCGATTGGGGGACTTTTTATTTGAGTTGCGGCGATAAGCAGCCGGAATGAATGACGGCCAAATGTCACTCGAAGGCAGATAACCTAACCGATGGTGACCAAGGGGATCCCATTCCCATTCCCATTCCCATTCCCAGTTCTAATCCCACACCCATGGGGGCTTCCCACGGAGGCGGATTATCAGCCGGTGCACAGGCAGCTCAGACTAAATGTAAATATGACATTTCTCGCTGAATATTTATGCTTCCTGGCGGGTGGGAGGCAGCAAGGCTGACCTCCCCCAGTATGAATAACACTCGGCTTTAGCGCCTTGCTGGCTTTTTCTGCATTGCAAATTACCCGGCCAACAGCCAACAGCCACTAAGGCATAGTCAACATGCGTCAACACATAGCCACGCCCACTGACAAGTGCCGCCCTTTCCAGCATCTACCTTTAAAGGAGGGTAAGCTGGAAAAAATTGGGTACATCTTTTGGGGGAAATTTGTAAAGTAAATAGGAAGAATAGAAGTGAGTCAAAAAGTAAAATAAAGAAATTATTTTTAAACAGAAAACCCCTAACAAACCTAATTTTAAAATGTTTAGATAAATGATTCTTTGTTAGGAAATGTATTTTATGAAATATTTGAAAGCTTTAACTTGGAAAAATAGATCTACATTTGAAGGAAATTGATAAAATAAAACTGGGAGATTTTAGTGATTAATTTCTTTGTTTAAAAAAGAAAGTATAATAACTTATATAATACCTAAACATGATATAAATTTAACAATTATTGTAATTCGATATAAAGATATATCCCTAAAGTTTATAGTATATATTTTCCCCCAGTATATGGGAAGTGCTGCACGGGAAAGGGGTTTTTCAGGGAGGGAAAGTGCAGCTGGTGCAGCACAGCAATTGCCCCTTGGCTCGATTAGAGCACTTTGTTAGTTTTCCTACAGCAGCCCCGGTCCTGGAAAAAGGGGCTGGAAAAGGGGGCGGAGTGAAGTGGGAACTGTATCTTGCCCTTTAAGCAACTCGACACTGACATTTTGAGTAATTTTTCGCTTGCATTTCGTTATTTGTGTGTGCTTACCGCTCAGGGAGTGAAAAGAGTTTATAGTCACGGCTCATTAGGCTTTGAAAAACGCTTGACTCCCCCTTGATCTATGGCGCTTTTCCCATACGGGGTCAAGGGGGAAAAGCTGCATTGATTGACGCAATTTCCGGTTCATCTGCTGCGCAAAACACCAGAAAGACAAACAAGAAGAGGTGCGGTGTTTTGGTGTACATTAAACATAAAAAATTGGCTTTGTTTATCAAATCGATTTGAATTGATTTTCCCTTTATGTTCTCCTACCTCCCCTCCGACAGCAATAAATCAAATAAAAATCAAACAGAATTCTAAATAAAATTAATCCGTTTTCATGGTTAGAGCATTAAAAAATAAATGTTTGGCTTTTGTGTACCAAAAGGAATGGATTGCGAATGTAAACAGTTTGGAAGGCAGGCAAATTGAGGCATTAGTCAATCAATCACTGCTCCTCTTCCTCACTCGCTCTCCTGGCCATGACGTTTAATGGCGGCCAAGTCCCAAAACTAGGCTAAGAAATTTGAGCTTAGCTGGTGCAAAAAGCAAAAAATTTAACTTTTCCCTCGCGTTTGCCATTTCGCTCGGCATTCAATTCGTTGCTGCGCCTGACATTTTGAAATGTTTCTTGCAAATCGCTGTTGAGCAGGCTAAGCCCGAGTGCCACGCCCCCGCCTGCTGTCACAGCCCCCTGGGCTAACGACCGTAACAAGAGTAACAGTCCAAGTAAGCCCAAGCCAAAAAAAAAAGAATAACTACCAAGAATAACTGTGCCTGAGTGTCCCGACAAGAAGATACCCTAGATATTTACAGAGTTCTTTATTAATCAGATTCTAGATCATATTTCTATTTAAAACAAAATAGAAAAGTGAATTAGTTTAAGATAACGTTCATTGATCTTATAAACTGTGACTTTGGAATGATAGAAAATATCTATATATCGATAATGTCACTGATATATAAATAGATATTGTAACTTGTTCTAATTGTATGTGAGAAAAAAAGAAAACTTTTTTTTATTAGAGAGTTCTTTTTTCACAGTTTTAAATACAATCATTAAGAAAGACATTTAAAAATTATATTTTAAAATTTGATGTTTATACTGGGTATCACAATTTTAGTCAGAAGTTTATGAAGGAAGCATTTCCGATCCAATAAATTATATATATTCTTGATCAGCATCAATAACCAAGTCGAATTAGACATGTCCGGTGAAAAAATGCACTATCAAAATTTTTTAGATTTTTTTTAAGGTGTTAAAATTGTCAAAAATTGGCAAAAAAATTATTTTTTTTTTACATTTTAAATGAAGTATGCAGATTTATTAGACTAATAAAAACTTGCATGGGACAGCTTTCCGAATTAAAATTAATGCGTTTTTGGTTAAGTTATGAGATTTTTAATATTTTATTTGTTAAACAAATTGTCGTATAACAATATAAGTAATACCGACTAAAAAATAGTATTATAGTTTTAGTCATAAGCTTGTAACGCGTGAAGGAGTCATTTCCGACCCCATAATTTATATATATTCTTGATCAGCATCATCAGGCAAATCTTTCTAGGCATGTAGGAAAAATAATACTTTTTTGTAAATTTTCTTCAAAATTTTATAAGGGGTTACATCGTTAAAATTGTTAAAAATTGGCAAAAATATTCGTTTTTTTACTTTTTAAACAAAGTATGCAGATTTATTAGCCTAATTAAAACTGGCATGAGACTGCTTTCCGAATAAAAATTAACGAATTTTTAGCTTAGTTATGACATTTGAAAAATCTTGATTTACCCCAAAACTGAACTTTTAAAAATATCAATTTAATATACAAAGAAAACACATATCTCAGATTTTCTTTTAAGTATATGAATTAGTACTCAACCTATATACCTTCCATTCCAAACAAAACCATAGGTATCATAACCACTCATCCTTCTCGCTTCCTTCAAGGAAAAGCAATGTTAAAATTTTTGGAACAATCGCAGTGCTATGAGCAGTTGAATTTGAGCCGATAAGAGCCACCCCGCCGAATGGAGGCAATTCAATTGAAAAGAAAACATGAAAAGTTGTCAACCTGCAGAGTGGCGGAAAATGTTTTCGCACACACCGCACCGTTTTTTAGATTTTCCTAGGAAACGGATACCGCCGGCCCGAAGGTGAAACACTCGACTCTCGGGGGCTCTTTTGAGCCAAATCGATACGGCCTTGACGTCGTCGTCGTGACAGCTGAGAAATCATTAAAAAATAAATTCTAAATTTGTGTGCCAACATTGGAAACGTAAATATATTTTGCAGATTCATCACGAAATCAGCGAGAGTTCATTGTTTTCGCATTTCAAAGCGAAAATCCCTGACAGCTGATGGACAAACTTTTATCAGCCAATAAACCCAAGTTGGGCCAACGAGGCATGAATATTCTGCTCGGTAAATCTCAATGAAATTCTGGGAAAATATAATTGGGATTAATTCCAATTGCGCCTTGACAGCTTAATGGATTTTGGCTTAATAAACTACGCTTCACGGCGGGGGCAGTTAAGCTCCAATAAATGTATAAACATTTATGTTCTGGTCAAGCAGGCTTCTTTCTTCTTCTTTTCCATCTGCAAAAAGTATAAAATAATGTAGTGTGTGGGTGGGCAATCGGATAATGGCAAGCAGGAACATGAAAAACTAATTAAATAACCAACTGAAAAGTTCAAACCAAAATATATATTTCTGTTCAGTTTTGAATGCATGATATATGACTCTCTTTAGACGTCAAACTCGTGGAAAGTAATTTATAAATTTAGCATGTAATACGGCCCTTTGAGTTTATTGTTGCCAGATCCTGACTCCGGGCGAGGAAAGTTCATAATTCAGGGACACGGCTCAATAAAATGCCAGCTGGAATTACTCGGAAATGCAAAAGGAAACCCGAAAATAGGCAGCCTCGTAAATATGCATTTTACTCCTCTTGCAAGGGGCAATCATAAATAAGCTCCCGGGGAAGGTAACCCGAAGCCAGGAGCAGGAGCAGGAGCAGGAGCAGGAGCTATTCTGTCGAGCTTGAAACAAGAATACAAAGTTCATTAAATACGTATGAGTGAGGAGGAGACCCAGAGATATGCACAGATGGAAGCAGGAATTCTGGCGGGGCACTAAATGCCAGTTGCTCGTCCCGAAAATGGCTGCCATAAATGCGCCAGCTCATTTGGGGTGGTGGGAAATGCCGGGGAAATGCTGGGAAATGGGGAAAATGGGGAGGAGCGAAAGGTAGTCGGGGGAATGGAAATGAGGTAAATGCTTCTGTTCCTGCCCAGGTCCTGCCCCAAATGTTATTCAGACAAGATGAAGCACTTAGAAATACGTTGTGCGATGTCAGCATCCAGAGGGAGGAGGCAGGCGTGGAGTGGGTGGGCTATAGTCTTTCCACCACATCCCCCTCGGGTATCATATTCGCTTTGGCTGTGCCTGCCCATCCCGGACGGACAGGTGATAATGAACACACTTAGAAGCCCGAACACACACTCGCACACCCACCCATCCTCAGTGGCGCACATGTTGCTATTTAAGCAGTTAATGACGCGTTTAAAGCTAAATGCCAACCGCAAAGCCTCGTCGACTACTCTTTTATTAACTTTTGCAATTTCTTTAACGATCCTTCTTCAGCGCCCGCCGGGCTTCAAAGCAGCAAATGCCTTTGTTTCGCTAGGAATTCCTTAAAAAACATTTCCCCAACTCGGGGCATATTTGCTTTGCTGATTATTATTATTGTAGGACAAGCCTACAAGAGCTACATTTCAAAGATGATAAATGAGGGAGAAGTTTACATTATCCATATAATAAATTAATATTAATAATGATTATCTTTCTAATTTATAATATGTGTTTGGGT